TTTCCCCCCCCCCCTCTCTCTCTCTCTCTCTCTCTCTCTCTCTATATATATATATATATATATATATATATGTCCTCTAGATACCTGATGGTAAATTGTATCTTGAAACGAAGTGGAAAGTAAGTAAATTTACTAGAATATTTATAATTTTATATATTATAGTTAATATCATATGAATTTATTTACTTTTGTACTGTTTACAAAAGATTCCTCGTTTTAAGATACATAATCGATTCCCTGTTTTATTTTGGGTACAGAAAATATAACGTAGAATAGCTACAAAGAACAGACTACGTATTCGACGAAAGAAGAGGAAAAAAAAGGAAGAAGGGTAGAGCGAGTGGGACCGTGTCACGTGCGAACAAACGTACTCGCAAGCGCATGCGCCTGAGCGGAGCGGTTCCGATTCGGAGAGATCGGACGGCGTCGGACGCGGACGAACGGGACCGTCTCCGAACTTGATTGAAACAATGCGTAATACAGGGGTGGACGTTAAGAGCGGCCAGGTTAATCGCAGTTAACCTCTGTACAATGGCAAGCAACGTCGGTTCTTATCGTATTCGCACGGTCGCGCGCGCACGGCAACCCGTTTGCAAGATCAGCCGGTTCCCTGCCTTCTTCCCTCCCCCGAAGAAAATGCTGGAAAGGGAGATCCACGCGGGATAAGATCTTTTTCGAATTTGCCGAATGAGTGGCGGTCTAGTGCACGGTCGATGAAGTTGTGACTAGATCCACACTCATTAAGCACGTTCGAGCATTGCAGCTATTGTTTTGGAGGGAAATCAGAGATTTCCCCAAGGAGCATCACATGTCATCTCTTTCGAAAGTTTTTCTGCTTATTTTTGCACATTGGAGTTTCCTCCATGAACAACCGATTTAGACAGATTGATAAGAGATTCCGATGAGATTTCTCTCGCGAGCGATTCGCTCGATCGACGAGATTATATTGTTATCGTAGTGGTGGAACACTAGGAATAAAATGAATTATCATCCGGAGACGAAGAAAGAGAGAAATAATTCCATAGACGAGTGTGAATGTGGTGCACGTGCGTCTTATCATTTCGTGACTAGATACATACTCGTCTACGGCAATCTGTCTCGGTATCGGAAGCACCTCCAATGTGTGCGCCAAATGTATGTGCCGTCAAGATATATCGTTATCTGTATATTTTATCAACGTATTTCGTAACACAAACTTTGTCCTTGCGACAGACTGGCGACGAAAAGTCTCGTTTTGCCATGGAATTCACGTGAAATTACACCTATATATTCATTTAAATATATATATACATATATATATAATATTGCTTTGTAAAAAGGGATTAGAGAAGCAGTTGGAGGATCTTAAGTTTTCCTGTGAGAATGTTAATACTAGCAATCATTTTAATAATAGTGATTTATTACGTATATCAGATGGTAGTGATGATTTACAGAATAAACAAGTTTAATGGAGATCTATGCGCAAAAGGTGAGGCGTTAACAAGATTGCAGCTATGACGTGTAGTAGAAATTCAAGAATATATTAAAATAATAATATATGGCATGTGTAATGTAATGTAAAACAGATAGAATGTTAAAATGCGATAAATAAATAGATGTAATTTAAATATTATTTTAATTAAAATTAAGATTAACATTAAGACTTTAAAACCAACTTCAGACGGTTTATAACACACGCGAGAGTTTTTGAAAATTGGGTATTAGATTTAATTTCGTTAGGTTTATACTTAATATTAAATACATATTAATAATAATAATAATAATTTATATTCATAATTTTATTTTATATATTTAATATTTCATATTGTATATTAGTATATAAATTTACGTGAAATTATATATTAGCAATTAAAGATCCAAGCTAGACTGTTGTAGGCTTCGTATTCGTATTAGTTCTTACATTAACGGTCTTTAATATTGAATATTGTTTAATATTTTACCTCTTTTTATATATTGTACTGGGAAAGATGGAATCGCCGCGATCTCATGTAAATAATTGAAGAGTTTACTTCTGAACCGTTTTCAATATTTAAAAATTATTGTACAAAATTATACGTTTTCGAAGCTTATTATAGCTGTAAATAATAATTTCCACTTTTGAACAACTCGGATAAAAGGCAGTTTTAAGTTAAACTCTTTAATTAAAGACTTGTGTTTGTATGCCTTCACGTCAATCACGTAATATCATCAGCTGACGTGGATTCGTTCAGAACATGATGAGTAACACGGCTATTTTCTTTTTCTCATAGCGCGCACGAAGAAGTCCCGAGGTAGAAATCGATGCGGATACACAAGTTGATAAAATAAAAGCTGCAGAATATTCGTTTTCACCAGCCACTTGCACCGAGAAATCGTAAGTAGACTTTTTGAGCAGCGGGTTGAGTCGCAATTTCAAGAAAAATTGAATAAATGAAATAAATCATATTTTTGTACATTAAATAAAGAAACTAATATTCTAATGTGTTTATGAAATATGCATATATGCTTTGAAATTTTGCGTTCTTTTAAAAAATTTGAAACTAATAGAATATGTATATAGATAACAATATTTTCTAGATTTCATCTTCTTTATTTCTTAATTTGAAACAACATAATAAAATTAATATATTAAATATTGTATGTATACAGGCAGAATAAAGGTTTTCTACATTTGATCAATTTAATGTTTTCTCAAAATATTGTATCGTTTGTAGAAGCGTGTCAAGTCAGCAACATCAAGTCCGTAACGTAACAGACAAAGAGAAGATCTTACTTTCCGTCGGCGAAACCGTCTCGTCTTGGAAGAAAACAGATTACGAGGTTCAAGTTACAAAGTCTGATGAGCCGCATATCCCCAGCGACGCGAGGTACATGTACGAGATCCTGTCAAAACAAGGACACATCCTTACATCTGTGTGCCAGAATTTGGGAAACAGATTGTTCAAGACGTGGTTGACGACTACCAATAACGGCATCGAATTACGTTACGTGAAGAATGTACGGTGCGTGAGTCAAACGAACTTTCGGACGTTCGGTCGCATCAACACGAACAAGGATTCTACAAACACAGTGACACTAGAAGGTAGCACAAGGCGGAAAGGCATCTCGGGGGCTAACACGATCGAGTTGGATTTTCGCAATCTGAAACAATACTCTGTATTCTCTGGTCAGATCGTTGCGGTTGAAGCCGTCAATCCGGTAGGCGACACGTTATATGTAAAGGAAATATTCACAAAATCGTATGCTTCACCTGCGGTAACACCGATGATCGAATCGAAGCTTAACATTTTCATCGCTGCTGGTTCATTTACTCCATCCAGCAACATGCATTACCAAGCGTTGTGGGATTTGATGGAAAAAGTTGCGTCAGATGAACCAAATGTCTTGATATTAATTGGGCCTTTTCTCGAATACACGCATCCCGAAATACAGGATAATATCATTAAAGACACGCATCACGAACTGTTCGAGAAGATTCTCATAAAAATAATGGAGTCGACGCGGTAATGTCTTATAGAATATCTTGAATTTTTTAGTTATAAGCGTTTGAAAATATTCTGATTTTTATGATTATATACGAATGATATAGATAAGAAGATAAATATTACCTTCATTAATTAGATATGTATAATATTACAGGAGGAATACGCAAGTCATATTGGTAGCTTCTAATCGCGACGTACACCAAGAACCTATATTTCCAACCCCTCATTATACAATTTTCAATCGGAAATTGTTACAAAATTATTCGAACTTAAGGCTGATGCCAGATCCTTGTATATTGGATATCGCGGGTTTGAAAATTGGAATCACATCAGTTGACGTTATCAAACATATTGGGAAAGAAGAAATATCGTAAGTACTCCTTTCACACAGAGTCTAACGATCTCAAAAGTAATTAAAGTGTAATTAATAGAGTAGACAAATTTTTTATTTAATCTAATTGAAACTTATATATTGTGTGTGCTATTTATTTTATTTGTAAAAGTCTTACAAGTTTTTAATAATAGATGAAAATTAATGTTTGCAGTAATGTATCAGGTGATAGACTCAGTCGTCTAGCTGATCATGTGCTTTCTCAAACGTGCTTCTATCCCGTGTATCCTCCGTTCGAGGACCTGAACGTGGACACGGAGTTATGGGAGAAGTATGCCTTTTTCGATCAACAACCGCACTTGTTGGTTTTACCGTCCGATATGCGATGTTACTGCAAAGTGATTAACGATTGTATGATCGTGAATCCGGAGCGCATGCACAAACACACTTATGCCAGGTTGAGTGTGAAACCAGTCATCGGCGGTAAATGGAGTTCCAATAATATCTCGTGCGAGATCGCTAAAGTCTGATTAATTAATTTTAATTAATATTTTTAAAGTCTCGGACTTTTGTTTAAGAAACAAAATTATTTTTGTAAAATCTTAAAAAAAATTTTTAATTCTTTATTTTTATATCAAAGTTTTCGACATATATATATATATATCACAAACCATTGCATCATATCTTTAAATTATTGATTGAAAGATGTCAAATTATTTAAAAAAGATATGTATTTTAGTTTTCGAATAATCTAATGTTTTATACGGATTATTAAAAGATCTCTATTTAATTTTTCCTTTTCCTTTTTTCCATTAATATTAAGATGATATTTGCCTATGTAAGAAGCAAAAATTACTTGTTTAGTATCTATTTGTAATAAAAATGTGATAACTGTAGTCAGCACAAATTAAAACAAGGCATGGAATATTTAATGTTTAGTTTTTTTTTAATGAAAAATTCAAGTTTTCCAGCAAGACGCAAGATTTGTTTATGTTACAATTGCAATTCCCAAAAATGTTTGCACTTAAAATGAGATAAATATATTTGGACGTCGAAAAGAAAGAAAACGAAAATGCTCAGTGCAAAAATTCAAGTAATGCTAATAGACTTACAGATGACAATGTAAGGGCAGAAGCGCAGAGTCTTGCATAATGCATAATACATAATTTATAAGAAAATCCAGCAATTTGATCATTAAGAAAATCAAGCTTTTGTGACTTATGAAGGAAGAGAAATAAAAAGATAAATTGGTCCTTTTTTTTATTGCATGACATTATATAAGACTATATTCTTGTTCTAATATTTCATTTATTGTATGACAAATTTTTTTAAGTGTATTCATTAAAGATGAGAATTTCTAGAGACTTAAAAATTTTTGTATTTTGTGGAAAACTATTCTAAATTAATATATTTAAAAAATTTATCATAGTAGAATATTAATGTAGCTCAGCGATTATTTCATCTTTGTTTAACATTGAAAAACGATAAGAGTTGGAGCACAATCTTGCATAACACATAATTCGTAGAAAAATAAAACAAGTTCTTTTTTTTTTTTTTTCATGAAATAAACTGATTAGCTGATTTTTTAATGCGTTGGTCATTTGTGGGTGCTTTCCATTTGTAAAAGTCTTATAAGGTAACAAATCGACACAAAAGTCGTTCTATCTTTATTATTATTTGGAATATCAAAAAAGATAGAATGATGTTTCTGTCGACTTGTGTCACTATAACTAAGTACGGATCTACAATAGATGTTCTAAGCCATAAGAAATGGATCAATTATAGTCGGATACGAGGAGAGTGATTGACTATAAAATTCGGATTAAATGGAAAGGTTCTTGTCTCTTACTAGAAAGCATTCCATATCTAAAAAAAAAAAAACATGACTTTGAAATTATCGGCGGAGTTTTGTGTCTTTAAAAATTCGCGGAATTTATGCTGGAGGGCACCACACGCTCGATGCTGCTGCCCCCGCAAAGCCTCCCTGGAGTTTTTCGCTACTGGTGGGCTATAAAATCGGCCATTACTTCAACATTTTTGTCGCGCACGAGGAACTACGATCAATTCGGAATGGAGACATTGTATTCGAGCTGATAGGTCTATCATACGGTGAGTAAACGTAACACGGAACACGCTTCGTGAGCGTGCATCTCCGTATCATGGATCGTTCATCACGGCCATCAATCTGGAGTGATTTGCCAAATCCATATCCGCCATCTTTATCGCGAGCTCCGCTCGGCTCTGCTTACGCTCCGCGTACTCGTGCGACGTATATTGTTTTTTTTTTCTTCCTATCGCCGCTTGTTTCATCCCTTCCTTGCGTCTCGAGGAATTACTCGCGACCGTGTACGAGGGCGACCTTGATCCCCCTTTGCTCCGAAGTGAACGCGTCACGAATTCGATCAAATTCGCAATGCGTACTGTCGTGCGAATCGCGCTGAGCTTCTCTCTTTCCTTCTCTGCCTCGACGACGTCGGCTTTCGATCTCTGAATCACTTGATGCATTACAGATATTACACCGTTCAGGTACATTCAGCGAAATTTCCATAGCAACGATGTGGTTACGAAACAGTTACGTAGTGTAGGCGTTACATGTGAAGTGCATGAAGGAGAGATCTGCGTTAGGATTATACATCAGCTGGTACCCGTAAAATGTCACGGAACGAATCTGGACGCTCAGTATCGACCGAGACATCCGCGTCTTTATTACCGACGGCCACTTCTCAATTTGCAATAACAATGCACGTGTTTAATTCCTATCGTAAAGTATATATTATGACACGCGCTGAAAAATAATACTTCCTGTTTTCGCGCACCTTCTGCGCATTTTTCTATCATTTCTGTAACTTATGTCGAAATATACGGGTAGCGTTTTGTATCTTCTCGTTTATTTTCATTAATGTAAATTAATTTTTATAGGCCGATATTCGTAGTCGATTCTTAATATTTAAGATTGTCTTAAGTACAGTCTTAATGTACAGTCTAAATGAACCAATCAGCCGCATTAGCATCTTAATAAAACATTGCTTAAGACGGTTTTAAAATATGTTTTAAAATAAGAACGAACTATAGACAGGTATTCATAGTCGATTCTTATATTTTAAGACCGTCTTAAATAATATCTTAAGAGGATAATATGATTGGCTTATGACATCTTAAGACTGTACTTAAAAGACGATCTTAAATATAAGAATCAACTAGGAATACAGAATCTCGGTTCAACTAATTCTTCATCTTTTTTTAATTTTTATAAAAGACAAAGAGTTAGTTGAACTAAAGATTAAAATTAAACTACATTGGTAAAAATATGAATAAGGATACGTTTGGAGAGACACTATTACTGCTTTTTATGTCATTCCATCTTCATCATTCATTAGATGTAAAACAAAGATAAAATAAATAACGTGTATTAAAAAAAAATGAAATTATATATTTTGCGTGAAAATGTAGGGGGAAGAATTAATTTTTCAGTTGAACTTCTTGTGTATATAGTTCTTTCCTCTTTTATTTCTCTAACGTGAAAAGAAAAAGACAAAAAATGGATTGTGCAAGAAATTCAGCTAAAAAGAACAAGCCACTAAAAAAAATCTGTTCTTTTTTGAAGAATGTTCTGAACTGTTGTATATGATAGGTCTGTTTTTTGTTCCTGCAGTAGACTGTACTAGAACTTTCTTTCTCGTTCTCGTCATATATCTATTTCATTTTAAATCCTAAAAGTGTATATTGGTTCAGTTACAGACATCTTGATGCAATAAACTGAAATATAAAATTGAAAATTTGTTCGCTTGCATTGTTTGCTATAAGCACTTTCTCTCTCTTCGTCTGAATATTCAATACTTATAATTCTTACAATTAATGTTTCTGTAATTTCTGTATTATGATTATACGTTAAAAGCGAAAAATAGATCTTTTTTGTCTCGAAACTGTTTTATTTTTTTTTTAGTGTAGCTTCGATCGTACATTCGAAACAGCGATAACGCGGAATAAACCATATTGCAACAATCGACCAGCCTCAACCCCTCCACTCTCCGTTTCCCGCGTATGTGTCGCGACGTCGGAAATTGAACTCGCCAAAATTATGCCGGTCCCCGACGATTTCAGACACGCGGGCACGTGCGCGCGTCATCGTTCGTATATCGGGAATGCGAGAAAGCGAGAGTGCTATATCGATCCGCTTCGTGCGCGAGGTCCACCTACCTCACCCTACATCGTATCGTGTATGTACGACGACGTTGAACGACGACTCGCCCGTCGATGTGCCCACCAATGCCCACTGGCAGCGACTCCGTTGTTTTCCCCTTTTCGTCGGTGAATTTTTGAGAACCGCTCCCTGTCCCGGGTATCGTTCATCACATCCGCCGTCTCGCGATAACACGTGGAGTTTTTGCTTCGGACGCGGTGAATTTCTATCGCGAACCGGCCATCTCTGAGTCTCTTGTGTTTCCATATATTTTATTTTACTTGATCGAATTTACTTCTTTTCGCAAACGTATAGTACATTTGGACAATTTAACAATTGGCGGTAGACATTTTTAAGACTTAGCTTTTATCGTGGACTGTTTAAAAATATATCGTCGAATTTTATTCTATTCAATTTTTTAACGAAAATTATATTGGTGAAAGAAGTAAAACATATAATTTACAATATTTATAGAGAATTAAATAATTATCAGTTGTGGTATAAATAGTGATTATATTATGTAAAATTTATTTAAATTATTCGAAATCGTTAAAAAAAGACTGAAAATAAATTTAAAAATTATTTTTTTTATTTTACATTTAAAGATGCCAAAAATACATTTTAATTGTTATTTGTGTTATTATATTTATTATTATCAATTATGTGAGTTTTATAAAATGTAAAATGTTTATTTGTTTTTGTAAACGAGACATTACGATGCTTGGAAAAAGCACTTAAAACAATTTTTACTTAATTTATGTGAACAGGTATATTATAATGTAATAACACATATAATTACAAAAACATGATACTCGTGCGATCATGATATTCGAACACGATAATCGTAGCAAGTTCCCAGTCTGTAAAAGTTTAAAAAGCCTATATCAGTCAGTGTATTCGTTTTCTTTTAATTTTACCTTAGTATGGAGAATAATGGAATGAATCGATGACCTCATTTTATGTACAATTACACTTTTCTTAGAATAGAATCGTATAAATTTTTAATACACAAATCGATTATTCCCGTTATTCTGTGTATAAAAATTTTACTTATTTTTTTGTATAAAGAAAAACGTTAAAATATTAAAATATAAAAGCATGAAAGTATAAGAATGTTAAAGTAGGATCGTCGCGAAAATATTCGAATTCATGATTTCACTATACATGTACAAGATAATCTTCTCTTTGTTAAATATTAGAGAAAAAATCCTAATAGCACAATTTAATGATAGCATTGGTTAAACATTGGGGATACATTGGGTCAATATTTGATTATTATTATGCCAATAGCGCTACTAGGAAAATTCTGGATTTTTGTTTACTTAATTAAGAGAAGAATAATTTTATACGCATGTAATTAGTAAGTAAATTGTGAAATGTTCAATGTATATCAAAATAATTCTATTGACACTATCTAAAATTAAAGAGTTATTGAGATTCTTTTAACGGAGAAAGTTCAGTAAACTTGTCTGAGTAAGTTATGAGTTAACAAGATAAAAAATTACCGAGTACATTGACCTGTGCTCGTATCGATCACCTTGAGTCGCGTTGCACGCGCGAATTAAGTATAAATTTTAATTAATCCGATGAATATACACACAGATTTAGATATCAATCAGGAAAAAAAGGTAAATTGTAAACATAATAAACTGTTAAATTGAATTTTAAGTATCGAAATACATTTATACGGCTGTAAAATCAAATATGTTAATATGAGAGTAGCACACACAAGTCGATTTTAATTAATTGAAATTCTCAAACACCGAGTAAAGCAATAAACCGAAAGAGACAGCGAGCAACATGAGGAAGTAGATAATTTTTGTATAAGTTATTGAAAGAGGCTTTTATTAGCGTTAAAAATTTATGGACTTCGTTGGATTAGCATTAAAGTTGAATTATAAATTTATTAGACGAGAATTTGTCTTAGATCTCTTGACTTGTTGAATGGATCGTTAAACATATCATATCTTATACTGTAACTCTAATTCGAAGAATAAATATGTCTGAGAAAGATTCCTCACGACGGCGCGACGTCGTCGTCATCGTCGACGGGTAGACGCACGGGGTCCGACGTTTCTACGCCGGTGGGCTGTTTTGGGCGGGCGACGCAGCGGCTGTGCGCAAAAAGCGACGGCAGTCAAGTTCAAGGCCACCGACGTCTCCACCCCCTCCCCTCGCTACCCCCACGTTCTGCGACTGCCGTCGCGGCCGCCGCCGTCGCCTTCCACCGCCCCCGCCACCCACTCACCTATCACCGTCGTGATATACACACATTGGCGCGTCTGAACGCCAGTAACGTACCAAGTCGAGGCCGACGCGCGCGCAGGATCGAGCGATTTCTCCGGGCGATTCTGCGAGCGCGACGCGGCTCGTGTTTCGCTCAATCGATCTACCCCGTTCCCGCGAGGGAAAATTCAATTCATCCGTACGTAAATGCTACTTGGCACGAGGGCTCGGAGATATCTGGAACACAGGTTCCAATCAACTACCCGATGTTGCGTACTTTAAGATCGAATAGGAAGCAGGAACATTTTTTTTCGTAGATCTATAGAAATTGAAATATCGAGGACATATCTTTTTATTGTTTATTAAATTAGCTGATTTTACGAGACGCATTTTGCTGATAAATACAAAAATATAAATAATCTGTAGTCGTTATAATAATATAAATATCTTTTATGAACACATGGATCTAGAAATTGTGCGTCCCTTGAAATATTAAAGATGTATCTCTTTATTTATTAGATTAACGAAGTTTGCGAGACACATTTTGTTAATAAACACACAATATTAATTAATATAAAGTTCATATTTAACATAGAAGTGATGAAAATTGCATAATCGTAAATACACATTTACACACACACATGCACTTAAAAGAAATCTGTGACTAACATAAAAATATCTATATAAATACATTTATCTAGAGTCTAGGAAAATATTTTACGAGTATCTGGTACTTCCTCGCTTCTCGGAAAGGGTGGAGCTTGATGTAAAGATGAGAGAGAGAGAGAGAGAAAGAAAGAGGATATAAATCAACGTATATAGAGATACACACAAAAACGTCGCTTCGAGTTGGCACGATAAAATGCGAGCCGTATCAAGGTGATACGAGGGCTGTAATGTTAATGACCGATTGTCCGTGACCATGATTTTATCCAAAATGACATTGCACGCAATTTGTGAAAAAAAAAATGGTAACATCTGTGTTTTAGTTTGAAACAGTCGTTTCGTCTTATCAATAAATACGATAAGGTGAAAGTACCTCAAATATTGCTTAATAAGGTGCAACTGCACAATATATGTTACTTCAGATTAAGAGTAATCATTACTTCACATAATGCAGCATAATGTCATCGTGTACAGTGCAGACTTTGGTGCAACACTGTAATAAAAATTAAATGAAAATGAAGCAAGCGGTACAAAATAAATGAAGAAGTTTAGAGACTTGAACATTTTCCTGATGTTACATAAAAGTACAAAGCGATTGCATGTATTTTAGCAATATGATAATATTACATAATATATATAAACTTGGTTCTTTATTAGCACAAAAATATTCTTCAATATCTTTTTATAATATAACGTAATCAATTCTGAGTGTGATATACATTGGCTGCGTTCAGAAGAAGCAGCTTTGGAGCTGTTACAAGATCCTTTAATATGTTTGTTCATACATTTAGATTTAATAAAAAAACTAAGGATAAGAATCAATTATATTAAAATATCTTACGACAGTTGCAACACTGCTTTTTCTGTTGAATGCAGCTATTGTTATTTTGTACTACAGAATTCTTTATCTGCCTAATAAATCATTCTAAGGCTGGTGGTTTTTCATCTGGTTAATTTAAAGTATAGACTTAACCTTACTTTTAATTTGATGATAATGTAAAAACTATAACTTCTTCCACTTTTTTCTGTTAACACAGCGCGATATTATTCTTATTAATTACTTTCAAGTGATTGCTACGTACAAGTTTAGTTGATAAAAAGTTTATAAGCAAAAGTTGATATTAAATTATATTGTAGAACTAGGAGACTAACAATCGATTCGACCTCGGAACACGTACTTGTTCGATTGGCAACAATTGGGAGTTAAACCGAGGTAAACGCAATGAAGTTGTATTTCGGTACTTTGTTGTGTCTCTGATGTCCTTTTCTACTAGTGAAGATTAACTCTAATCTCAGTTTAACTTACTCTCTTTCTAATTAGACCTAAAACAAGATAAAAAGTAAGTGAACCGAGATTAAGGTTAACCTTTGTACACACGTGTCATTCGTGTCCTATGCCATTTCTTTTCTTCGAAAAATTAGGAGTATCAAGTAATTAGAGTTAACATTTAACAATATAGATGTAATAAGGGCAAAGAGCGAATAATGTAAAAATGGTTTTAATTTAAATAATCGTAATATAAAAATTACATAAACAAAACATACGTTTCGATCGGGTCATTTTCAATGTTACAAAAATTGATCAATAATTAATAAAATTAAAATCTGAGTTAATAATTAATTCAAGACGTCTTAATATGTGTGGTGATAAATGAGTTCGCATTCTTCATTTTATATTTCTGGTTAATAAAGTAAAAAAGTAGCAAAAAAGTGACATTCTAATGGACAAAAAGAGATAAATCATATAACATTTAATATAATGATAATAATAATGATATGTAGAATAATATATAAAATAAAAATACAATTTTTAATATGCGAAATCTTATAAATACTTTCTAAAAATGTTAAAATATTATATAAGAATCACTTAATAAATAAATTTTGTGTACTTATTGTAATGAAAATTAATCAGAGAACGAATGAATCGTGTGTATTAAAGAATTAGGAAATCATCATGCACTAAGAATTTCTATAGTGATAGAAATGGACATGAAAGGTATTTTTAATATATCATTCAATAACTTTTTTCTGCATTATTGAAAAAAATGTATTAAGTCCTAATACATATTTCTTTATTGAATATTAAACATTTGCTTACAGAGAGTAAATAAATATTTAGTATACTTACTTCATAAAAAATGATAGTTAATTAATCAAATTATTTTTATATCAAATAAGTACATTTTTACATTTAATAAATATTTATTCAGATCTATTTAAATAAATATTTATTAAAATTTAATACTCTCTCTTTTTTTGTACTTTGCTACTCTATTCATAAATTTTGATATCAACAATCGTACGACCGATTCTCGTTGAATCGTAAAACGCCTCTTCAGTAATGCTTGGACTGCCACACCAATATTTTTTAGGCAAACCTAACGTCTTTGAAAGTATTTTTTCTCAGATTCAGGATGATGGTTCTTTACACCGTCGTGCTGCGACTTTTTTTCACTTTGGTTTTCTTTGTTTTCCTAAAGAACTTTGCGAAACATGTAGATCGGGCCTGACGCATGTGCGTCGCATCGACGATACGCAGTGCAGCTGCGCGTTCGGAGCCTCCGTCCCGCATCGCGCGCTGGTCCACCTCCGTGCATCGCATCGCTGCGCGGCGGATTCACTTAACGCCGTCCGATGTGTTTAGGCGCCTTCAGTCGCGTACGGCGCGCGTTGCCGTGAACGTCGTGGTTGTTATCGGCGTCCTCGTCATCATCCTCTTCGTCGGCGTGCGAGTGGTTTGTATTGCGCGGGCGACGCGCTCGCTCGCGCCGCGACGCGACGCGACGCGACGCGACGGGCCGATTCGGTCGGACGAGCGGTGCCGAACGTTAGTCCCGACTGGCGGCGAGAGGAGGTGCACGCGTGAGAAAACGGAGTCTGTGCGTGCATTTTTCGGTGTCGCGTGGGACGAGGACGAGGCCATGGACGCGTGGATGTACGATGTGGTAAGTGCCTGTGTTATGGCACCTAACGATTCTCTCCTCTCTTTCTCTCTTCTTTTCGCTTCCCTGCTTCCTGCGCGATCTCGTGGCTTTGTTTACGTGACGTGCACCTTGCGCGCAGTGTCACAGTCTCTTACAGAAATCTACTCTCTGAACTACTTTTTGGAGCGGAATCTCATTCTAGAATAAAAATTCTGTCTCTTTTTTTTTGTTTTGAAAAAGAGTGGCAGAATTTTCAAGATTTTTAAGAGTAAAATAATTTTATTTTCTTTAGACAAAAGATTCTACTCCAAAAAGTTTAGGGAAAGTAATACTGGTTGATTTCTTACTGGAGAAAGATAGTAATTAATAAAATAAAATAAAGACTATAAGGACTCTTAAAAATGATACTAAATTTTAGTAGAGAGTAACGTTTTGGGTATTTTTAGTATAATACTTGAAATGAAGAATTAATTATTGCCTTTCAATATTGGCCAGTTTTAAATTTCTGTAATCTTATATTTTCGAAATCTTTTCCATCTTCTTCTATCGAACAGCGGATAGTAAGAACGCACGTTCTCGCGTCTTTAAAAAAAAAAAAAATAGAACTCACCGCTTTGTTATTCCATTATTCGTTTGCTCTGCACTTTGTTACTCCATTTATAAATTTTGCGGAGCAAGATCGACAATCGTATGACTCATATTTTGCTAAAAAAAAAACGCCCCATAATTATATCGATGTGATTGATTTTAAAATTTTCTATTTTTGGCTCCACACAATTTCTCGCGTGATTTTCCTCGTTCCGTTTAAGAACAGTCTCGCAAAACTTCGCGATGGAACGTTCGTTAGGATCCTGTAAATAATATTTTCTACATTCATATTTTTTATAGGTGCGAACGTGTGTTACCTAAGTCGTCGTCTATCTCGTGACGAAGTGAGTCGTTATGTTACACAACGTGTCGGGCTGTTAGATAATTCATCCCGCGTCTCCCGACTAATTTCCGTCGCGCTCGCCAGTTTGTTGGTCTCTCGGGGGAATCCTCTGATAACGGAAAGCTCGGTGTCCAGCTTTCAGGGAAAATTGAATAATCGGGGTATGTCTCTGCGTTGCCGAGGATGCGCCACACGAGAAAAGCCCAAAATCCACCCGCAAAGACTCAGGGAGGGATAATTGAAGTGTTTTGCGACGCGTGCGAGCTGCTTCGAAAACATCGGGGGAAAAAAATTGTTTGTTGTTATCAACGTTTACACGAGCGCGCGATGACTCCTTTCTCCCGATTGTTGTACTTCGACGAGCTTTCCTCGTATACTGGGCGAAGTGAGTCTTTTTTCTCTCCCTCTTCCTCGCCTTCCTGCTTTTTCGGCTCTTTGTTCGCTCGCTTCGCGCGAGATCGGTTGGCGTAATCGTGCTTCGTGACAAATGCGGTACATATTGATTAATTTATGTAATCAGTATTGATTACATTAACTCTCCGTCTGCAATTATATTTTTACTTCCTTCGTCTATAATCTGAATCTCCTTTGTCCAACCCAAGTTCTTTTTCTATTCTCAGCTTTAAAAAAGTTCAAGGTTTTAATTGTATTATTGTCTCTACACGGAAAGAACAATTTTGCTGAGAGGTTTAAAATTTAATTGGATACAGATCTGAAAATAATTTTGTTGGAAACACAAACTGTTAAAATGTCAAAAAAATTTTTGCAGCGTTAGTGATGTTTTTTTTTTAGTTCTAAATAATTATTTTGATAGTTCAATAAAATTATTTTCAGATCAGTTTAACAAAATTATTTTCTGATCTTTAGTAAAATTTTATTAGATCTTTCGACAAAATTATTTTTTCTATGTATCATATTATCAAATAGTTGTTTAATTCAAAGGTTAAAACTTTTATTTAATAAAAATTGAAATTTGAGTTTAAATGAGGGTGAAATGTGAAAGTGAAATTTCGCTTGTACTAAAAAGCAGATAGATTGCACGGTTAATTAAATAATAAGATTGAAAAAAAAAATGGGTTTCAAATCGATTTGAGAGTCTCTGTAGCGGAAGAAGGAATATCCTATATTTGTGCGACAGCACCACAATATACATAATAATCATATCTGTTTTGTGATAAAGAAGAGTAGCTCGTTGCTGGTACGCGGCGTCTTTTTGGACGATAAGAAAAGACTGTGCAAAAGAATGTCCGATGTCATCTAGATCAATTGCGTTGCTTACGTGAGTCGAGATTTATGATTGTTGACGACACGCACGCTCGAGTACTTTTCTTCAGTAGAGCTAGCAGTGAACAGTGAAGTGCATCGCAGGAGCTATCGAGTGTGAACGTTAAAATTTTTGAAAGTTCCTCACGAAGGTAAACTAATCGGATTTTCTGTATCATTTTTAATCTTCCGTCTGCAATCTGGTGCAATTTTTCTTGACACAAGCGAAATTCATTCTCAAATTTCTCTGAAATAAAAGAGGACGAAGTTCGGTTTCACCTTCTAAAATATCTGATTAGTAGTGAAGTCTTATGTAATAGAGATGTTGGAAAGTAACTCTGAATTTTTTCACATTTTTTGAAAATCAAGAATAATATAAAAAAATTGGGTTGGACTGAGAGAACGATATATAATCGCAGACGAAGGGTTGATAAAGTTCCGTTATTTAACAACGTTATTCGATTTACCTGTGGAAGTTTGGAGGAAAAAATTATTACTGTAGGCCGCATCTGTGAGAGAGAGAGGACTAATTAAAAAAAATAAATACTCTGACTACTCGATTCTCTTTTATGGAGTGGAAAGATATTTTCCTTTAGGTTTTATTTCGTTATTACGTAATACAGCGTGTCTCGAAAGCACCGGGTGTCCTTTTGATCACACAATTTCAAGACGCTTATGTAGTAAGATCATCGCTCGATGTGAAAATACTGATGGCTTTTGAGTAATTAGTAAATAAAAAAAGATTTGGTTGGTTTCGATTAATGCTGTTTGATTTTCATGTTTTATAATCTTATCTGTTATCGACACTTTCCATGCAAAGTTGTCAATACTGCGTTTGACTTTGGAAACGTCGAGTAATGAAGTTGTGAGCAGTGAAATCGAGAATCTGTCAACGATCTATTTTCTTTTTAACGGATTCATGATTTATTTAAAAAATAAATGGTATATGTTATCTCTCTTGTGAGTACTCGTAAATGGTTTTAGTGTTAAGTTTATCTGTAATGTTCACGTAACGTGTAGAGCATATAAAATGCTTGTTTAAAAAAAAACTCTCGAAAGCAATTACTGGGAAAAATACTGAGAGACCACAAGAAGATAGTAACTTTAGCAACCTTTGTCTTTTAGAGAATTATTTAACTATGCATATTTATTGAGTTGAAAAATTGATTTTTGATATAAAAAATCTCATTTTTATATTTTATATATAATTATTTTGTAACACACAACGTTACAAATTCTGTAAATGAAAAATCCATGATTATACAAATTTTATAAATCATTGTTGAATTAGACTTTTAAACGTTGATTTTTCAATTTTTACGATTTAGAAAAAGAAAAAAGAAGATATCGTTTTTTTTTACGTCAAAAGTACACAACATGAAACAAATTAAGTTTTTTAGAAAACGGGAAAAACTATTTTTTAACTTAACAGAACATTATTGATTATATATTAGAAAAGAATATACTTTTATAGAAATATGATCAAATATTATTTTTATTATTTTCGTCTCACAACTTTTAAAAAACTACTTTTTTTGAATTGTGAATGATTTTGATATCCTACAAAATTATAACAAATACGAAATAATTCATCGAAAGTGACATAATTCAAAATACATCATCAATAGTTTATATTTATTTTGATCAGCTGAAATGACTAAAATAAAATAATTTCTTCTTTAAACTTCGATCACACCTTTAAACTTCGATCAAACTATCTTAATTCTAAAGAAAACTCTCCTTTTATTTACAAAAACGACACAATTCAAAATGTGCCATTTTTATAAAACATCTTTTTGAAAACCTTAAAAGTGCTATTTGGCGGACAGAAGTTAAGTTAGTTCACTTTTGATAATTGATAAAATAATCTTTACCTCACTCATTAGTAATAACTCGAAAATCACATTTTAGTCGTATCAGTTTTGAAGTAAGAAAATAATATGTTAGATTTTGGAGAAAACTTTGTAGTCAAATAAGCATAAATTTAACATTTTTAAGGCAATTATATATAGTATTTTTGGTTCAACCGGTTAATAACTGTCGCGCATAAAAAAATTGCGAAGGAGCGCCAGTATATGTCCAGCAATTAAAAAAGGTTTTTGCGAGATCGCGACGTAGATGATGTATTTAATAGATTCACTTATGATTCACACGTGCGTTGTTGTGAGTGGAATACAAGATTACGAGTCTTTGACTTTTTAGACCTTTTCCAAATTAGAACGGGCCTCTATTATTAGGCAAATCAATAATCTTCCAAATGTGTCGTTTCTACCAAAATAGATTAATTTTAATCTCGGTTTAATTTATCTTTTTTTAATCCTTAAAATTAGAGAAAAGTAAGTTACCAATGTTAATCGGTATTAATAGAAGTAGACCTAAATTACCTTTGCTTTCGTAATCGCCTGATACAATAGTTATATCACGTGTGAAAAGCGCTTGAAAAGAGTGTCATCGACTTCTGTTATTACTGTTCGAGTCATTATTTCTTTCGTGATGTGCATTTGCTTGTATAACTTTCGAGAACAACTCTCGACACAGTTTCTCTCAGATGAACACGCAATCGTGAATGGAATGTGCTCGACTCACAGTCGAACGCATCCAATGGGTTGACGATCCTTACGCAATTTCACGTACATGAGACGTCACAGGCAGCGTGGTGATATATCACGCTCGCGTTATCACCGATATTGTTGAGCGTTTCAATGCGGTACGCGCATTACGGATCTTAATCTTGATGTGCGTACTTGAACTCTCCGTAGGTCTCAATACTTTTAGCGATAACGATACAACGACGGAACAATGATGTCCAATCGCGCTGTCGAATTGA